TCATTGGATACCTTTGACCTATTTAAAGTACAACATGGGCTTTTAGACCCCGATTGTTAAATTATTTCCCTTGATTTATCATGTTTATTAAAACAGTGTTTTGCATGATTTCTTGTAAATTGGATATCTGATTTGAATAAAATTTTGGATTTAGAGAAACAATAAACACTCCCATTAAACCTATTTTTCTTTCATTGCAATGTTGAAGCTGCAGTGCCATGCCTAAACAAAGATGAACGCAAGAAGGCTCTAACAATGATGCAAACCGGAGATGCGCAACAGAAAGTTGCACTGCATTTGGCGTGCATCAATCGGCATTGCAGCAGTTAAACGTACGTCTCCACCAGCTAGGAACACGAATGACAGATCAAGAACTGGCCGTCCGCGGGTTACGACACCCAGGCAGGACCACCAGATCCTCCTTCAGCACCTGCGCAATAAACTCAGAACTGCTGTACAAACTGCTGAAATCAGCATAAATTGCACAAATTCTTCGCAAGAGACTGAGAGGAGCTGGTATTCGTGCACGACGTCCGTACACTGGAAATCCACTAGCGCTGAGAGGTCGCAAAGGACATATGGATTGGTTAAGACGTATGCCTCTAGAATATGTCAATGACATCAGCTTATTTTGTCAATTAGGAACATAGGATATGTTTGATTTTTATTGCAACATACTCTAAAATCACATTTAAAAATACGTTTAAACCGAAAACTTAGATCATCATGTTTAATCTGAATATGCATTTCTTTATTTGCTGAGTATATATCATTTTATTCGTGTGACAAGGTAAAATAGGCAATATTTAGACTTTGTTAAGGAAATGCAACATGTAATACATCTACGGCGTGATGTGACGTCACAATGTGAACTTTCCAAATATTAGCTGTTATCATAAGAGTCTCGAAAGAGATTTTATCATATCAGAAGAAATTCCCGAGAGTTGCATACGCATTATATCAAGATACAATGGCTTATGCATGAAATGAAAAGTATATTCCTACAGTTTTATGTATAACACAAAACTATATAGCATTAGCTGATTTCATTTCAGAATATAGACACTTTAAGCTTTGTTGTACCGTATCATGACAACTTTCACAACAGTACATTTTTTAGAATAGAGAGAGAAATTAAGAATAATTAGGGTTGATCAATACGTAGCTCAACAACGGTTTATCATTAAATATATACAAGCATTCATTCTCATTTTACACGGTAAAAAGGTTTGTTTAAAAACTCCTAATCATCGAAAACTACGTGCTTTGTGATACTCTATTTGAAAAGGCAATCTCTTTATTCAAGTATCAGTATAATCATCATTACCATGCACCTCAAAGCCTACATACAAAAGAACCAAAAGATAAAAAAAGAAGATTGAAAAGATGGCAGTGAAAAGAATTCACAAAAATCTATAGAGAGAACCTAAATTATCGATGCCGTGAACAACATACTCTCTAGGGTGCGTTCAAAACCCAAAGTGTTAATTGGTGGTAGAATTCTACATATATCTCTGACATAATTTTGAATGGAATGCTAGCCTTATCGAGAAGTGTTAAATTTTTTTTTTTTTTTAAATATCAGAAAAGAACTTATATTTGGAACAAGAGACAAAAGGAGATTCTTTCGAGCGAAAATATTTCAAATCACTAATAAAAGATGAATGAAAAACACTCCATTTTTCAAATCTTGCTCGAAAATTTTAAATTGAAGAACTTTACTTTGAAATGGGTACATGTACTTAGTATTCCGATTTATGCATGCTCTTGTTACGAAGCGATTAATTAAGCTAGTAGGCTAGCTCAAGATCGTATCTTTACATAGATCGTGCTCTAGATGCGACATATACGTAGACACTACGCTTTGATGGCATTCCTTGACAGTACAATCATTGATCAGACACTTTTTATTATATAAATCTTTCACACCAATAAGAGTTAATTAAACTCTTTGCAAAGAAAATGAATCTTAAAACATTTCTATTTTATAGCCCAAAGCAAATGCATGTACGAAGATCATCAATAAAATGTGGAATCAAAGATAAAAACGCCCATCTTTAATTGTAAGGCAAAGCCGAGGTTCTTAACATGTCTCAGACGAACCCTAAACAAAAGAAAGATCATTTATAAAACGTTGTATCAAAGATAAAAGATGATGCTATAAACATGTCTCTTTCACTTTGTTTACTCCAGAGGTCCAGTAATATTCAACCTACACCCAAAGGCAGAACCAATGGTAGCTTTTATGTGAAATATGCACTAAGAAGATTAGAAGGCTTTTCGTACGGAATATCAAAAATATATCGGTCCACGGGGTATTTTTCTTAAATTGATTAAGTTAATTTATGTGAAATTTAAATTTGATATTTTTTTCTTAATGATATTCAAGTAAATTGAAATCTTATTTTATTTCCCTACTTTAGTTTTAACATTTGATTATTCTCCCTCTTTCACAAAGATGGATTCCACATAAGCAAGAATTTTTATTCCAATAAGTTGATGCAAAAAGTCGTGTTGTTCTTTTAATATCAACGTTTAGTCTATGAAAAAGTATGCTTTTGACAAGATCAGGAATCATTTTCTTATCATTATTATTTTTTTAATTTGCAAACTACTTCTTTGTTAAGAAATATTATTTCTGAATTCCACATTCTTAATCTTTCCTAAAAGGCCCATAGGTAAAATTAACAAAAATAACCTAAAAAGATGTCACAAAACTTACTCTATCTAATAAGAATTTTAAGGAAAAATACGAATAAAGGAGATACATGTGGTTTTCTTCAAATTTAGGTGCTTAATAATATAATACCACGGCTTCGTGTTTTGCAGCAATCAAACCTTTTAATACTTACAAGACATACAAACTGTAAACCTGTGTAGCCGATCCGACTGTGCTTCTGTTGATAGATTATTAAGATAAAAACGTAGACCAAGGTCTAAAGGCATTGGCTCATTCTTTCAGATAACTCTGTCTATATGAAATCATTTTGGAGATCCATGTATGTATTAGTTAGAAAGAAATGAAAGCACTTACTGCAAACGTTAAAAAAATCGATTCCACAATTGCAAAAAGCTTTATAATTTTCATCAATCAATTTCAAAGAAACTATAAATGTACCTTTACAATTGACTGAAACTCAGTATATTGCTATGAAATTCTACTTCAATGCTTTGTTTATTAAAATGGATTAAAATGGATTTCTTGTCAAATTTCTTTTCAAGAGATATTTCAAGTAACATTAAGAAAATCTTTTCTTTGCGTTTTTCTTCCCAAGTTCTGCTTAAGGATTAACGAATTTTGTGCAAGAACAAAAAAATCGGTTGTTAAAGAAAAAGAACTGTGTCGATTATCAGAAGTTTAAATAATAATTGTTGTTAATGTATATTTATCAAATAAGTAATACACATATGCAATTTTTATTTGTAACCTACATACTTGATGTGCTTGACATAAAGGAATATTATTTTTCATACATTTATGGATTGCGCTTAAAGTATAACGATAACTTTCTCTGTTTGGAATAATTCGGATTACAATTAAACCAATTAGTATGATATACTAGTATTGTAAAAGAAGAAGACACAGAAAGGTAGAGTTCATGTGTTTGATCTGTTTCTTTGTTTTGTTTTACTTTGATTTCCCAGGGTGTTTTTTCTTGTTGAATGGTTAGCTGAAATGAATATAGCGAAATTCTTTCTAATCTTTTTAAAATAAATATTGATAAAATATATTTTGTGCATTTAACTCGCTGATTAACATTTGATTGGATTTATCTATCAAATGGAATGAAGTAAGTTATGTTTACAAGTTCATTTTACAATTAGTTGAATTTTTTGGTCTGAGTCGTAAGTAATGGCCCCTGAACACTTTTTAGTGCATCCCTCCATTGTCGACTCTCTGAATTCAGATCCGTCAGTCACTTTTCTCTCATGTTAAGTTCTCATTATACGGGCAATGAATGAAATATACCAGAGTTTCTCTTTAGCCGTGTCTCTTTTCACAACTTTATATTTTATGTCTGTAAGGTGTGGCTTTGTTTCTGTGAAAAGTGACTGCTTCTCTGATCTGTGTCTTTATAAACACTGAAGACGAGACAGGCGTAGGTCTGATCTACGTCATCGCTAATCATAAATAATTTTATCACAATGAAATTATGTTATATGTAGTGTCCTTTTCAAGTAAAAAAGGTTTGTTTAATTTTATTATTTCTTAAAGTTATCATAAGTAATCTTATTTTATAACTTAAAAAAAGGTAAATTGTATATTTAGAAAAAAATTTGCTGTTGATTTATAATATTGATATTGTAAAAAGTACTTTTTATTCTTAACCATTGAAACAATGCTGCATTATCTCGTTTCATCATGCTTATTGTCGATCAAGTCAGATCTCAGTGCGATTAAATCTGCATTTAATGTACTAATATTCTTTTTTAATTCGCCGTCGAGATGTAACTAGTCAATCTCATTACAAAAACTAATATGGCTGTACTTTCTTACTTTACCAATTCTGGAAACTGTTCAATATATAGAATCAGTATTAGACAATGCAATATAAAATTTACACAAAACAATGACCTGATAATAATGTTTTTCATGCTAATGGATACGACTTGCATATACACGTATCTTATATGTAAAAGTAAAAAACCAAAAATATCACAAAACATTTACTGCAACATGGGAACATGGCGAAAGCGCTTGCAGTAAATATTTTGTGAAATCTTTCTATTTTTACTTTGAAATATACCAAAAAACTGTACCGATTCTTCATTTTACTTTTGAAATCACGTATCTTATAAATATAGAGGACCTTGTTAGCTCTGCTCCTATTTTGTATTGTTTTATGGACTTCTGATCTTGATTACTGTTTGTTATCTCCATATGTTTTATAAGATCAGTTTAAAAACATATCGCGTAAATTGTTTATAAGGTTAATTTAAGACTATCCATTGTTTCATAAAAATACATTAGCAACTGAATTATGTATTTTTTCTTGCAGATGGATACGACTGACACATATCCTGTGAACATTTCAGTTCAGCTTCAAACAAGATACAATGTATACGCAGAAGGCACCTACATGGACAATACATCTCTCTCGAAAACAGAAGATGCAGGTGTTAATGGAATGGAAATTTATAATCTTGCAAAAAGTATTAGAAATGTGTGTATCCCAATTATTGTCTTCGTTGGAGTTTTCGGTAATTTTGTGTCCATGTCCGTATTTGCCTCTAACTACCTTCGCCGATCCTCTTCCTCTACGTTTTTGGTGGCACTGGCCTTAACTGATAACGTTTTCTTGATCTGTCTCTTCTTCACCTGGCTTGATGGTTCTGTTGACAATATCCTGACGTCAGTAAGAATCTGTCAGGTCATTTCCTATTTGACCTATGTGTCAAGCTTCCTGTCTGTGTGGTTTGTTGTCGGATTTACATCTGAGCGATATATCGCCATTTGCCATCCCTTAAGATCAAAACTTTTCTGTACACATGTACGAGAAAGAATAGCCGTTCTTATTTTCATAATATTCTCTGTAGTTCTGTACAATTTCGCGTCTTGGACTACGGATGTGTACACTTCCGAGAAATTCACAAGATGCACCTACAAATTACAATACATCAAATTTCTCAATATTATCACGTGGCTGGACACTGTTTGTACAATGATGATTCCGTTTACTTTAATATTTTACATGAATATGCGTGTTGCATGTACAGCTGCCAAATTCCAAGAAAAACGGAAGGCATGTTTGTTACCAAGGGATGCCAAACACGTTAAACATAGAGCGCTTCGATCAAAACAGCAAATGCGAGTTACACGAACATTACTTTTGGTCTCTACTACGTTTTTGGTTTTGAACTTGCCAAGTCATGTGTTCAAGCTTTCCACTCTTATCTCTGCTCTCCTACACCCCTCCAACGCTTACAATATAAGCATGGCACAGTACCTTATACAAGAAATTTCGCAGTTGCTGTATTATACAAGTTTCAGCATGAACTTCTTTTTGTATGCGTTATATGGAAAGCATTTTCAGCGATCTCTTAGTTTTATGTACGAGTCTCTGCGACTGAAATTCGGCTGTAGTGACAGAATGGGATACATAGAAAGGACGAGCACTCTAAGGAGCTGGACTTGATCCCATGACCATTTTAAGTCTTGTTCTTTCACTTTTTTCTCGACTTAACACTATTTTGTAGAAAACATATTCTCTTTTCGATTATTGAATGCTTCAAAATTTTGAAACACTTCATAGATAGTTTAACAGGCTGAGGCAAATTAATATTAACAAGTAGATAAATAGTATTCACATGGTTACTTAACTGAAGAATCCTTTGATTGTTTCTTTTAAAGGCTACTTCTATTACATTTTGGTCTAATTTTCAAGAAACTTGGTTCACAAGCTTTAGGTGAACTATACTAAAATATATAATTATATTTATCAAACAAAGTCAAAGGTTCTTCTTAGAGGGGTAAAATATGTTACAAAATATTTTTGTACAATGTATACAAATCTATTGTTGTTATAAATTGAATGTTATCAATTTTAACCTGTCTATTACAAAATGTATTGTGGACATGAATTTGATAACTTTGAGAAAATGTGATTATTGCTTGTTGTTTCATACTCTATAATTTAGAAAAGTGAGTGCTGGAAACGCTAAAGTCATTTTGCCTCTCATACCGTTTAGTTGTTCGCTCGCAATTTTGTTCACAGGAGGAAAACTGGGAAGATTTGAGTGGACATACTTTTCTATGAATGGAAGTCTCCATCTTTATTGTTCATTTAGAAAAACGTCAATATTATTAACATGAGATTGCCTACTTAAAGGTGCATAGACACGGAGTAGAAGTAAAAATTTTCTCAAATTTTCTGTATACTATTACGACTTATATATCGGGTATATTGCAAGAACATTTCACAAAAAATATTATAAAAATCTTATTTCATCTCGTAAATATTGAAACTTCAAATTTCTGGGCGGGTTTGATTGACACGTCCTTGCACTTTCATAGCTTATGATTTTATTCTTAATACTTAAGAAAAGTGGCAATTTTGTTGTTTATTCATGAAAACTATTAAAAATTAAATCTAGAAAATTCAGAGTTAATAAGTTAGAAAGAAAACGCGCCCACTGTACAATGTCAGTGCATGTTCAGTGGTGTGTGTAGACTTTAACAATTGCAAACACCCGGTGAATCGTAAACATAAACAATAACAGAGCTCGTGCCCTGTTTACAAAAACAGATTATGTTTCAATTCAATATATAAGATATTATGCAAAAAAATTGAGAAAATACAAAATTCTAATCTGTGTCCCTGCACCTTATATGTAACCAATTTTTTTTGCAAATAAAACATCATACCCCGCGGTATCACCTTTAAGGTCAAATGACCCTCTTCAATTATATTTTATTTAAAAAATCCTATTATTTATTAGCCGCTGATTCTGATGGGAAATTGAAGTATAAAGCATAAGACGAGACTAGCTTTGTCAGAATTAATTTTGTTATTTATCCTCATATGCAGAAATGTTACAAGGGAAAAATAAAAAATAGTCACAGCATTTAATTAAAAGTATGAGGTAAGCATTAAATAATATTTAAGACATAAGTATATATTTATATGAGAAAAAAATAATAGCTGTAGTCCTTTTTAATTCATAATATCCGATTGTGTTATATTTTAAAAGAAAAATGAACCCAGTAGCAAGAGTTAAATTTCTTTGAAATATATTTTTTAAAAAATGCGTGATATTCATGACTTGAATATGATCATCAGTAACAGAGTTAAATTAAATAGCCAAACTTTACATGCATTGAAGGACACGAAAGCAACATAATTTCTATCTTCTCCTCTAACTGCATATACATTTTTTATCATAAAAACCTTGCGTGCTTAATTTCCATGGATAAGAAATGAAAAACAGTAACCATCTCATTGTAATATAACAGCTACCTCATGGATCTACTACGTTTACAGTATCAGTTCATTATAAAATAAAACTGAGCTTATGCATTATTACAGAACAAATTAACTAGATATTCTAGGAAAATGTACCCAACAGGTATGAGTGGAAATACAGACGAGATGAAAAAAAATAATTATGGAGAAGATAGCCAATTAGATTTTAAGTAAAGATGCAAATAAGTGCAAAAATGGTGTTTAGCTATCTGCACATAAATAACAAATACTGTGTTATAGTTGTGTTAGGGCTGTGCATTTGTACTTGTGAAGTCCTGAAAATGTAGCTGCACATTATTTCAGCAAGATCCTGGAAGTGACACCCAAACAACAAACATATTGATCCACTGAATATACCGTATAAACGAGTAACACACGAAATTACGTCCCCACGAACAAGTAAAATTTTGCTTGCAGGCGAACATTAACACCCCCCCCCCACGAATAAAAATGATTACACAATATATTGGTTCATCTCAAATGTCTGCAAGCAAAACTAAACGTTTATGTTTTCCTGTTGTTTTTTTTCATATGATGTTGTACTTTTTTAACATAAAATCTACTCGCAAGAGTTTTTTAATTAGACCATGTAATTCATATTGACACCAACCATTAGCCCTTAGTGCTAGTTACCAAGGAGACAGCTGCTGACACGAAGGGCAATAACCTTCTTGTTATATCCTTATTATCATATAAGATATAAAATTATTTGTGATATTGTTCCCCAAAATTAATTGTTTTCATAACATTTTCCTTATAAGTTTTGCATTGATCTTGATAAATTTCACATTCATTGTATTCAATATATTGTGTTTTTTTATAACAGAAAGTACCAAGGGATAACGAATATCTTAATAACTGTAAGATTTTAAATGTCCCTTTATTGCATTATTACCATTCCGTCGTTTGAATGTGTAAGTACAAAATGCACATTGTTTTCCATAAAAGATTTGAAATACCTGATTGTTTACTACTAAAGTCAGCATTTTAAAACTATATTTTATGCTATTTTGAAATTTTTTTATGCTATTTTGAAATTTAGACCCGGCCTTTGACTTTTTGATCTCAACTTTAGATTCTGGTCATTAAATGAGTGCAATATTGATTTCCAGGGTATCATTTGCTTTCATTACTTCTCTTATGTGTTAACGAATCAGGCATATGTCAAATACTGATGGAATTTCCCAGAAAAGCCATTTGGTTTGATAAGATGGGATTTTCTTCTAATTTCTCATGGCTATATGTTGACATTTGATTAATTCAAAATTTTAAGAAAAAAGGATAATAAATAGTAACATTCTTAATCAATTAATTGACTTTACTTACAGATGTCTAGGGCTCAGGCTGGGGCTTACCCAGGGTCAAAGTAAGAAAAAAAACACGCCTTACCTTGAATTAATTTCATGTCATGAACATAATTAAATGTAAAATTTATTAATTAATATAAGGGCTAGGCCTATTTGTATTGTTTTTTAAAAATGATAATTGTCTTTTATACCATTATAATTAAGTTAACATGATAAGCAAAGATCCAATGGAAAAAGTATCAATTCATGTTAAGTTATTTAAGCAGTATCGATATGTCTGAAAAATATCTTCCTGGTCAAAATGTCACTTCTATTTATTCATTTGCAAACTTCCTCTCGCATAATTACCTTTTTTTCTTTTACAAATCACCATTGCTACCCTCCTTTCTAAGTAATTGATTTATGTACTGTTAATAGATTATTTCAGAAAATATCGGAATTACAAGCATCTTTAGAATTGTTGATATAAATACGACCCACAATGGATCTTCGTATACAATGCAAATGATCTACATTTTGACAAAAAAATGTACCAATAGATTAATAATTCATCGCAAGAAAGAAAACTCTCAAAAAATTTAAAACATTTAAGAAATAACTGTCTTTTTTTTCGGTGTCATGATGTGATCAATCGATTGGCTTGCGTGAAGGCGTTTATTCATAAAATAATCACGCAAGCCAATCAATTGATCATCGTCATGAAATCGAAAATTCTGACAGTTATTCCTTATATTTACATGGTATTGATTCCGCCAATCCACGTTCTAGAAGCCCCGCTTCTTGTCTCTATTTGTCCCGCCCTGCACGTGATTTTTTTTTTAACTGCGCCTATCGATGAACCAGTACATTGATGGAGAAATAAAGTACATCAGCTATTTGTAATTTTATCTCGAACAAACACATTGGAAATGTAGATAAAAAATTATATAGCATAAAGCCTGTGTTATTTCACTGTTGATCATTCAGTAGATAGAATCTATTCATAAAGTATGAGGAATAAAAAAATGTTGTGAGTTGATGTACAAAAAATAATCTATTTTTATTTTCATATATAATATTGTGGGAATTAGTGTGCATGACATAAAATAATAAAGCCCCTTCATTAACTCAAACTATTCCACATTAATAAGAATGTCAGCTTGGCATTCCAAAAGACTAGCGGCCAAATGTTGCTAAATACGGAAAACGTCCTGTAAAATAAAAATTAATGTATTGATGTTAAAATATATGATAATATATGATATAGACCGGATATTTCTTTAAAAAGATACTTTTATTTTAATTTGTAATATTAATTGCATTATTATTAAAATTAGAAAAATGGCTTGAATATATATACAAAACCAATGCTCTTTAATTAATACACATTTTTCTCATTAAATGAGGCTAAAATCAATCTTACTGTAATGAAACAGCATTTATTCAATACAAAAAATGTCGACTTAGTGTAACCAATATAATATCCACTGCCTGAAAAATTGTGCTTACAATACAGAATTTTCCTTTTCGTGCTCATTCTTACATCGCAGGTTCGAATCCCTTCCGATAGGCGAGGAGATGAGTCCTTTTGGTGTGACCGTATAAACTGAGGTCCGTGTCGCAGAACATGTTTGCACGAAAAAGATCTCTCACTGCTCGGGGCCCTGAGTGACATTTGCATCCCTTCAAAGGCAGGTTTCGATATCCCAATATAAGTTGAAAAGGGGAATCCAAGAAATAAAAAACTTTATAAGAGCTGTTCTGAGAAATTTATGAATACGTATATTAAACTGTTAAGGTATGATGCTTGGTGCGTTCATTTTTTTGCCAAATTGTTATAAAATAAAAACGACATTACATAAATACCCGACGCCGTCGCCGTTTAGTTTCATTTCGTCTGACATCATCACTGCTTTTCAATGTCCAATTCTTCTACCCCATACCTCATACACTTATATTGATGAGATTCCCTGGAGTTTAGTTAGAACTTAAACCCGTCTTGTTTTTATGTTGTTACAATGTCATGAACATCTGCTTTCTATGCATATAATACTGCAAATGGATTACACATTGAGAGAGATCCTCACTTGATTATGCCAAC